GCCCTCTGTTCGTCGCTCACACATATGGACTCTCGAAGAGGCGTTGAATCGTGACCACATGGAATGGGTTCGTTCGGGCCCCTTAGCATGTTAGTTTATTTTCCGCCAGACATCGCTTGATACTGACATATCATGTTTCTCCTTTTTATTGTTTGCATTGAATTTGAAAGATTTGCCTTACATTTTTGTGATCTCCACTCTGAGGTTGAACGGGACCTCTTATCCTCCAGGATGTGCTCTCTGGGATGGTAGAGACAAGGGACTTGTGGGACTTGGTTTTTTCAGGTCAAGCGAATTGTGCGAATTCAGATTTCAAGATGTACTCGCGTTTTTCGGGAATTTCATGTTCGTGTCGCGCGACTCTGCCACGCGGTACTGTTCCCATGACTCAGCAGTGCACTTTACAGGCCTGTCGACGTGGCGTAGGTGAAAATAAGCGTCCGAAATTCGGGACCCATATCTTCACCAACACCGGAAACGCCAAAACCCTGCTACCCATTTTCGCGCGGTGAAATTACCGCGGGCTAGGTGTATGGCGAGCGTGCACAGTGCGCACGTCCACAAAAGGACAGGGCGAATTATCACCCTACCCTCGAGCAGGACAGCGCGCGTCTGTGCGCTGTACAGCACGACCGAAAAGTCGGTCGTGCATAATCAGGGCTCTTGGTATCAGGGTAAACACTCTGAAACTCAGGTACATTCCGTATGTTTTGTCGGCTAACCCTGATTCATCATAATCGTTCTAGAAATCATCCGGACCATTTCCGGATGATTTGGCTGAGCGTTCGGGAACTTCAGTATTGTTTCGAAAACAATCCTGAGATTTTAGTTCGGTACTAGTTCTTGTGTAGGATGTCGAATGCAACGATGCCCATAAGTGCCGTCAAACAAAATGTAAATTTCAGGTGTGTTGGTCCTTGCCCAACAACTTAGACGTTTTAGAGCCTCTTGCGCCTAGGGTGATAGGACCACTCTTGTGCATTTTCGGATTTTTGGAAAACACACACGGACACGGAAGGGTAACTTTCGAGAGAGCACTGATTCTTTAAAGTCTTTTCTCAGGCGAACCCGGAGCCTTCCGTGCCTTCAAAAACGAAAGATTTGCCCTGTGCATAATTACGCACTTGGAGGGTTGCGCGTGTGTTACGGGGGTCGTCGTGGGATTCCGAGGGGTGCTCGGGTCTGACTCGAGATTTCAGTAAAAAAACGGAATCTCGAGCTTTGACTTTTATGACGTGGCGAACATGATACTATAGACGTCTGCTATTATTGAAGTCCAAGGCGGAATTGGAACGTTTGGATCCTCAATCTACAGATATCTTCAGACCTTATGCCCTATGGGATCGATATGTATATCGTCCAATCATTATGGATGCGGTTTGTTTTGTTGACTTTGCAGCAAGATATGAGGAAAGTGCTTAACAAGACCTCATAGGTCCGGACCTTTCAGCTAAATAACGTTTTTATCACAAGAGATCGAGCAGGAAGATAATTCGCTATGCAAACTATCATTGCAATATTGACATTGTAAACTTTATATGAGAACAGACGTTGTTGTCGTACCTTTTCGTCAAGAAGTTTATAATCCGATCCAACTTGCACGGATATTTAGAGCAAACGAGGATCTTATCATTGCAAAGAGGAACAGATGTTCCATCAACGGTGATTCATGGATGCGCGCGTTTAAACAACCATTGGATGACGAAGATAAGAATGACGATTTTGATAACGAAGCACCTCGAGATCGCGTTGATGTCGATATTGGCGAGGAGCTCGGCTTTCACGATTCTGCCCGATCGAAAGATACGTTTCGTTCCGTTGCCACAACTGATAGCGAATATTTGCAAATGGAACGGATGCTGAACGCCGAGCAACGTGCAATTACTGATCACATTGTTCGAGGAGTGCGTCGGTCTTTCGAGAACGGACCTCTTTGCATACTCGTAAGTGGTGGTGCCGCCGTTGGCAAGTCCGTTCTGATTAGGACTGTGCACGATACATTGATGCGTATTTTTCATGCGCAGATTCACACGGACTTTGACACCATCAAAGTGTTGAAGATCGCACCTTCAGGTGTTGCTGCTTTTCAGATCAAGGGCTATATGTTTCATAATTTTGTTCAAAATCGACAAATAAAGAAGTTGATCTCGGACAAGATGAATACATTACGATCACGACTCGGGGACATCAAAGTTGTCATTGTTGACGAAATCTCAATGGTGGGAAAAAAAAAAATTCAAGTGGATTGACTTTAGGCTTCGTGAGCTTACGAACAACGCAAATTTGGATTTTAGAGGGCGGCATATAATCTTTGTTGGTGATTTTTTTCAGCTTCCTCCGGTACTCGACATCCATTGTTTCGGCGACCGTTCAAATGCAATCGTAAATCAATCACAATTATGGAAACTGTCAAACATTGCATGCTTATATTATGTAGGCTGTAGTGGGTTACACCTTAGGGGGTACTCAAAGTTAGGGTTTCCTACTTGTACCAAACTATGTGCTAGTTCATTTCATTCCTGCTCAGTTATTCTGACATGGTATCAGAGCAGGTCCATCGCTAGGACCGTTCTTAGGGCCCACCGCTACCTACCTACCTACCTACCGTGCGCCTCTTGCGCCTACGCGCCCTCGTGCGCCCTACCCTACGTGCGCCCTCGTGCGCCCTACCCTACGTGCGCCCTCGTGCGCCTTTCTCTCCTTGTGCGCCTTCGTGCGCCCTCGTGCGCCCTCGTGCGCCCTCGAGCTGCCCCTGCAGGTCCGTCAGGCCACCGAGCCGTCGCTGCAGGCCTGTCAGGCACCTGAGCCGCCGCTACAGGCACGTCAGGCACCCGAGTCGCCGCTGCAGGCCCGTCAGGCCCCCGAGCCGCCGCTACAGGCCCGTCAGGCCCGAGAGCCGCCCCTGCAGACCCGTCAGGCCACGCGCGCCGCCCCTGCAGGCCCTAGCCGGCCGCCGCGTCGCTCTGCCCGCAGCGTCGCCGCCTCTCCGCGGCGTCGTCGCCTGCCCGCGTCGAAGCCGCCTGCCCGCGACGTCGATCCCTGCCCGCGGCGCCGTCGCCTGCCCGCGGAGACGTCGCCTGCCCGCGGCGTCGTCGCGGCGTCGCCACCTGCCCGCGGAGTCGTCGCCTGCCCGCGCCACATGCACGCGGCGTCGCCACCTCCTCGCCGCGTCGACCTGCCCGCGGCGTCGCCACCTGCCCGCCGCGTCGACCTGCCCGCGCCGTCGCCACCTAACCCTAATCCGTCGCCCTGCCCGCGGCGTCGCCACCTGCCCGCCGCGTCGCCCTGCCCGCGCCGTCGCCACCTAACCCTAATCCGCCTCTCGCCCCTGGAGCAGCCGCCACTGCAGTAGCAGCCCCTGGAGCCGCCGCCACTGCAGCAGCAGCCCCTGCAGCCGCCCGCCACTGCGGCAGCAGCCACTGGAGCCGCCCGCCACTGCAGCAGCCGCCCCTGGAGCCGCCCGCACCTGCAGCAGCCGCCCCTGGAGCAACTGCCGTCGTAGCCCGGTCTAGCTCTGCAGCAGCTGCCGCGGAGCTTCCTACTGCGCCTGCCACGCCGACCACTGGTGAGCATTGCCCTGCCAGCACTGCTACCGCTGCTACTGCTACTACTGCCGTTTCTACTCCCACTCCCGCTACTCCTGCTGCTCCTGACGTGGCCAGATGCAGCCACAGGACCGTGCGCGTGAGTCCCTCACGCTCCAGCAGGCTCGTGAGTGGTACGCCAGTTGGGGCTATCGAGGTGGCCGTAGTGGTAGTCGCTCTGACGTGCGTCGTTCGGGAGCCCCTGGTAGTGGACAGGTGCAGCAGCCGTGCCCTCCTACGGTCCAGCAGGCTCGTGAGTGGTACGCCAGTTGGGGCTATCGGGGTGGCAGTCGTGGTAGTCGCTCTGACGTGCGTCGTTCGGGAGCTCTTGGTAGTGGACAGGTGCAGCAGCCGTGCCCTCTTCTGGTCCAGCAGGCTCGTGAGTGGTACGCCGGTTTGAGCAGTCGGGGTGGCCGTAGTGGTAGTCGCTCTGGCGTCCGTCGTTCGGGAGGCTCAGGTAGTGGACAGGTGCAGCAGCCGTGCCCTCTTCTGGTCCAGCAGGCTCGTGAGTGGTACGCCGGTTTGAGCAGTCGGGGTGGCCGTAGTGGTAGTCGCTCTGGCGTCCGTCGTTCGGGAGGCTCCGGTAGTGGACAGGTGCAGCAGCCGTGCCCTCTTCTGCTCCAGCAGGCTCGTGAGTGGTACGCCGGTTTGAGCAGTCGGGGTGGCCGTAGTGGTAGTCGCTCTGTGAGTGAGGCAGCCGCTCTCGGTGCCAGTACGTCTGTTGCCCTCGGAGCAGGTGAGGCTACCACTCCCGGTACTCGCGTGTCTGCTACTCCAGGTGCTGGTGAGCCTACTGCTCTAGGTGCTAGTGCGTCTGCCGCTCCAGGTGCTCGCGTGTCTGCTACCCCAGGTGATGGTGAGGCTGCTGCCCTAGGTGCTAGTGCGTCTGTGCCCCCTGGTACTGAGTCGACTGCAGCACTGCACACCTTCACACTTGACTCAGGTGCTTCTCGCTCTTTCTTTCGTGACCGCACTGTCCTTGAGCCACTCGCTCGGCCAGTTGCTGTCTCTCTTGCTGACCCCTCAGGGGGTCCGGTCATTGCGACCTCCTCCACTACACTTCCGTGTCCAGCGGTTCCGTCCGGCACGCTCTCAGGTCTCTACCTCCCCTCGTTCTCTACGAACTTGGTGGCGGGCTGTGCTCTGCAGGACGGGGGTGTTCACCAGTTCACCCCTGCCTACGAGCGTGTGACACATTGCACGTGTGCTCGGACGGGCCGCCACCTGGCTACTTTCACTCGGGAGCCGGGGTCGGACCTGTACACACTGACTACTGAGTCCCCTCAGGTGGCTGCGTCTGCGTCTGCGTCTGCGTCAGGTCAGCTGTCCGCCCCCTGCTCATGTCGCTCTCTGGCGCATGAGACTGTCCTCTGGCACCACCGCCTTGGTCACCCGTCTGTGCAGCGCCTTCGGGCCATGCACAAGCGGGACCTTGTTGCTGGTCTTCCCAGGGTGCTCCCTCCCCTTCCCGACTCGCCTGCTCCTCCCTGTATTCCCTGTGTCGAGGGACGGCAGCGCGCCGCTCCTCACTCCTCCTCCTTTCCCCCGACGACTGCTCCCTTGCAGACGCTCCACATGGACGTGTGGGGCCCAGCCCGCGTCCGTGGTCAGGGTCAGGAGAGGTACTTCCTGATAGTTGTTGACGACTACTCGCGCTACACCACGGTCTTCCCCTTGCGCGCCAAGGGTGACGTCCCTGGTGTTTTGATCCCCTGGATCAGCCGAGCCCGTCTCCAGCTAGCCAAGCGCTTTCACTCGGACTTTCCTGTCCTGCGCTTGCACTCTGACAGGGGTGGTGAGTTCGCCTCCGACCTCTTGGCAGCCTACTGTGCTGAGCACGGCATTGAGCAGTCGTTCACGCTTCCGGCCTCTCCACAGCAGAATGGGGTCGCTGAGCGCCGCATTGGCTTGGTCATGGAGGTCGCTCGTACCTCCCTGACCCATGCGGCTGCTCCCCACTTTCTGTGGCCGTTTGCGGTCCGGTACGCAGCGCATCAGCTCAACCTCTGGCCCCGTGTCTCCTTGCCGGAGACTTCCCCGACTCTACGGTGGACGGGAGAGGTTGGCGATGCGTCGCGTTTCCGGGTCTGGGGATCTCGAGCTTTTGTCCGCGACACGTCCGCGGACAAGCTCTCGCGTCGCGCTGTTCCCTGTGTCTTTCTTGGCTTTGTTCCCGACGCGCCTGGATGGCAGTTTTACCACGTCACCTCGCGCCGGGTTCTGGCCTCTCAGGACGTCACTTTTGACGAGTCCGTCCCCTTCTACCGCCTCTTCCCCTACCGCACTGCCCCGCTCCCCCCCCGCCTCTCTTCCTCGCTCCAGGTGCTGAGGTACCAGACCCCCTCCCCCCTCAGGGTGCCGCTCCCTCAGGTGTGTCCCAGGTAGACCCGGGTGAGCCTGTCGAGGTAGCTGTTGACTCGCGTCCTGCGTCTGGGGGTGCTGAGCCTGGGGGTGCTGAGCCTGGAGGTGCGGAGCCTGGGGGTGCTGAGCCTGGAGGTGCGGAGCCTGGAGGTGCGGAGCCTGGAGGTGCGGAGCCTGGAGGTACTGAGCCTGGGGGTGCTGAGTCTGGACGTGCTGAGTCTGGGGGTGCTGAGTCTGGGGGTGCTGAGCCTGAGCGTGCTCCACCTGGAGGAGCCCTCTCCTCCCAGCAGCTGCAGGAGAGGTACCTCGAGTACTGCCGCCTCCGGAGAGGTGCTTCTGGAGCTCGTCCCGGTACTTCCCCTCCTACCCAGGAGCTCCCCCCCATTCAGGTGATCCGCGAGTGGTACACGCGGCGCTGCAGTCTTCGTAGTGGTGCTCCTGGTGCTGCGGACCCGAGCGGTGGTGCTGTTGCTGGTGCTGAGGACCCGGACGCTGGAGCTGCTGCTGGTGCTGAGGACCCGGGGGCTGGAGCTGCTGCTGGTGCTGAGGACCCGGGCGTTGGAGCTGCTGCTGGTGCTGAGGACCCGACCGGTGGCGCTGCTGCTGGTGCTGAGGACCTGACCAGTGGCCCTGCTGCTGGTGCTGAGGACCCGGGCGTTGGAGCTGCTGCTGGTGCTGAGGACCCGACCGGTGGCGCTGCTGCTGGTGCTGAGGACTCGGGCGTTGGAGCTCCTACTGGTGCTGAGGACCCGGGCGTTGGAGCTGCTGCTGGTGCTGAGGACTCGGGCGTTGGGGCTGCCACTGGTGTCCCTGCTGCTTCTGGAGACGCTGCGCGGCCGCGACCGTACTTCGTACCGCTCCTTCAGCAGGTTCTTGGTCAGGCTCCTCCTCCTAGTCCTCCTCCCTCCGTCGAGTGTCCTCTGCCTGTCCAGCCGCAGTCACAGTTACCGCCTGCCTCGCCTCTCCCTGCTCCCTCTCCTTACGCTGGTCCCACAGGAGGTCTTACAGAGCGTCGTGAGCCTGAGTCTCGTCCTGCGTCGCCTATTCGTACTGCTCGCACTGGTCGTCGTGTCCCACGTGAGCGTCCTCCTCCTGTCCCTGGCACTCACTACATGACTCTGCGTCCCTCCACTGCTCCGCAGCGTGTCCCGCTGCCGTCTCCTCCTGCGTCCTCTCTTCCTACTCTTCCTGACCCGGAGTCTGACTCCCGTCGTGCTGCCAGTCCCACTGTTACGCGTCTCCTCGCTACAGTTGTCACTGACCCGACCTTTGAGTCCTCTGCTGCGTCTGCTCTGGTCGCTGAGTTGGTTGACTTTGCTGCTCGCTGTCGCCTAGACTACGCTGCCAGCCTTGTCGCTAGGTCTGAGTCTGCGTCTGCCTGTCCTCCGTCCGTCGGGGGTGAGTGTGCCCTCGGCACGGACGTCCTTGAGGACAGACAGGAGGAGTTCCACTGCCTTGCTGCTGCTTTGCCCCGTCTCGTGTCCTTGCTAGTTGCCCCTGAGGGAGACCCGGATGCACCAGACATCCCGACCCCACGCTCTTACGCTGAGGCGATGGCGGGTCCCTACTCCTCTCAGTGGCAGACAGCCATGGACGCAGAGATGGCCTCCTGGAAGTCCACAGGCACCTACGTAGACGAGGTTCCCCCTCCTGGGGCGAACATCGTCAGTGGCATGTGGATTTTCAGGGTGAAGCGGCCGCCGGGTTCTCCGCCTGTCTTCAAGGCGCGCTACGTGGCTCGAGGCTTCAGTCAGCGAGAGGGAGTAGACTTCTTTCAGACCTTCTCCCCCACCCCGAAGATGACTACTCTTCGGGTGCTGCTGCACATAGCCGCTCACCGCGACTACGAGCTTCACTCTCTTGACTTCAGCACTGCTTTCTTGCAGGGCAGCCTGCACGAGGCTTCATCTGGCTGCGCCTGGCCCCAGTGGAGGCTTCACTGGGCCAGTTCTCTCGCCACCCCACGTGGAGGCTTCAGCGGCCGGTCTACGGTCTCCGCCAGGCGCCACGTGAGTGGCACGACACACTGAGGACGACACTTGCGGCTCTTGGGTTCGCTCCCTCTACTGCTGACCCGTCGCTGTTTCTACGCACCGACACCTCGCTGCCGCCGTTCTACATCCTCGTGTACGTCGACGACTTGGTCTTTGCCACTGCTGACACCGCGGCACTCGCTCACGTGAAGTCGGAGCTGCAGAGGAGACACACGTGCACAGACCTGGGTGAGCTGACGAGCTATCTTGGCTTGCGGATCACCCGGGACAGAGCACGGCGCACCATCACCCTGACTCAGTCACACATGGTGCAGCAGGTTCTCCAGCGCTTCCGCTTCACGTACTCCTCGCCTCAGTCCACTCCTCTGCCTACCGGTCACTCGCTCTCAGCTCTGCCTTCGGATGAGTCCGTAGAGCCGAGTGGCCCGTATCCAGAGCTTGTGGGCTGCCTCATGTACCTGATGACCTGCACTCGACCTGACCTTGCATACCCTCTTAGCATCCTAGCACGCTATGTCGCTCCTGGCCGTCACCGGAAGGAGCACATGGATGCTGCTAAGAGGGTGTTGCGCTACTTGTGCAGTACGTCGGGCATGGGACTTGTGCTTGGAGGGCGAGACCGGGTTGTTCTCACAGGGCACTCAGACGCTTCTTGGGCAGACGACCAGGCTACTCAGCGGTCGTCCCAGGGTTACACCTTCAGCCTTGGCTCTGGCTCAGTTTCTTGGCGTTCTACTCGCTCTTCTTCTGTTCTCAGCTCCAGTTGTGAGGCTGAGATCTACGCCACAGCCATGGCTGCTCAGGAGCTACGCTGGCTGACCTACCTGCTGACCGACCTCGGAGAGCGGCCTCGTTCTCCTCCAGTGCTGTACGTCGACAACAAGGCTGCCATTGCCTTGTGTGAGGAGCACAGACTGGAGCACAGAACGAAGCACATCGCTCTGCGGTACTTCCTTGCTCGAGAGCTGCAGCAGCGTGGTCAGCTTTGTCTGCGTTACGTGGCCACGGAGGCCAACACTGCTGATGTGTTCACCAAGGCGCTTCAGCCTTGTGACCATCAGCGCTTTTGCACTCTGCTAGGCCTTGTACCTACTGGGCCTCACTTGCTTACCTCTTGACCTTGCTTGTACTGTGATCACTATATATATATGCCTACTTGTTTACTTTTGCTAGGTTGTGATCACTGTATCTCTTGCTTTGTTATAAACCTGCATGTGAACTGGTCTTGTGACCGCTTGCTTGTGCTCGGAATTTGTGTGGAATCCTTGAGATCCACCCTGAGCTTGCTTTGCTTTGCTTTGACTGGTCTTGTGACCCTGTGGTTGTCTCCCACTGCGCCTATGGGGGTGTGTCAAACATTGCATGCTTATATTATGTAGGCTGTAGTGGGTTACACCTTAGGGGGTACTCAAAGTTAGGGTTTCCTACTTGTACCAAACTATGTGCTAGTTCATTTCATTCCTGCTCAGTTATTCTGACAGAAACGCGTTCGACTCGTGTAGCTTACGACAATTATGCGTCAGCGTGATGAAGCTAGATTTGCTAAATTGTTGAATCGACTACGTGAAGGTAAACAAACTCGCATGGACATTCAACTGTTATATGATCGGACCATCCTACCGAGCGGATTTGCATTTAGTTGAGTAATGAATTCTTCGTAACCTCTTGAAGTGATGGATCTTGAACAACTAGTGGTATCAGAGCGGGTAGTCGACTTTGAGACGACGAATCGTAGTCAATTCTCAACCAATGTTGACAAGTGATACCATGCTCTAGTAGCTCTGCTTGCGAGGTTGAATTGTGTTCTTTTTCAAAGAATCCAATCCGCGACAGCGATTTTCGTAAACTCAAAATTTCTGGCAGAATTCTCTCCAAACGATTTCTCAAGTTTCCACCGTTCATAAGGCCTCAATATGACTGGAACGGACTCTAAAGGTGCTAATGGCGAGATGGCTGGAGGTAGAGAGGCTGGAGAGCAGGGGGGAGTTGCTGGTGGTGGAGTGGGGACTCACCAACCAGCCAACCCTACGCTACATACATCTACTACACCATCTCCGACAACCGTGGATCCCGTGAAGGCGTTTGCTATTGAGAAATTCATGGGGGAGGACTACGAGCACTGGAGCTTCCGCATGAGGCTGATGTATACACAATACAAGCTATTGGATCTGATGGAGGGGAAGGAGAAGATGCTGGAGGCCGCGGAGCTGAAAGGAGCGTGGATGAAGCGATCGTTGGACTTGTACATGCTCATGGACTACATCAAGGACCTCTTGGGTGATCCAGAGTGTGGCCCCAAGGCTTGGAGGAAGCTTCTGGATGTGCATTCACTGACATACGCTACCGGCATCGTGCTACTTGCGCGGCAGCTGCACCACATCAAGTTCGTTGATGGAGAGCCGATGCAACCGGTGTTGGACGAGATGCGCGACATCTTTTCTCTCTCTTGTTCTCTCTCTCGCTTTCTCTCTCTTTCTCTCTCTCTCTCTCTCTCTCTCTCTCTCTCTCGTTCTCGTTCTATCTCTCTCTTTCTCTCTTCTCTCTCTCTCTAATGGTCCGTGTATTGATATAAGGGTGGGTTACAAACATGCAAGGTATAGATACTAGGCAAAGAATCAAACAAGCTGAGAGCTACCTAGGCTGTAGACATCCATCCTTCTACATCTCCAACAAAGGCTCTAGGACTGCACAACTTTCCCCTAGATGAAACTCCGAGTGCCCCCCCCCCCATTGCGGGATTTTCAGTCACTGCCGCCTGACTAGACTTAATTAGGTAACCTACTGACTGTGCCCGCATCAGAGCACACGACCACCGCTGCCGGAAGAGATGGAGGAACCTGGCTGCATGGAATGAGCGCGGGCCGGCGTTGAAGTGTCGCCTGGCAGCCGTGTCCGCCAAGAGTTTCAGGAACTGAGGAACCTCGGCACAGGGGCACCCGTATGTCTCTACTGCCAGGGGGAAAAAGCCAACGGTGTCAGGGCGGCTGGCATAGTGGCTGACCTTCTTGTCGGCCGCCTCTCTGGCCGCCCATCCCCTTCCCTTCGTGGCATGCGGGTCCCTAGTGCTCATCGGGTCAGTGATAGTCACATCGCAGATGTATACCGCCCCGTGCTCCGATCACGCATGGTAAGGTCTGCCGTCTTCTCGTCAACTGGGCAGTAGGCTGATGATTCCGCGTGCACTATGAAGCCCGCGTCTTCCGCCATCGAAATGCAGGCGTCACGAAGTTCGTTGTGAGTGTTTATCCTGTGCTTTCCTGTCCCGCAGCGAAAGAGGTGGTTTGGCAGCCGTGGGTCAGTGATTTCGACCTGTTTGGAGCAGTCACACTTTTTGGGTCTAGAAAATGGGAGCCCGAGCCTGTGCCGGACTGCGTTAGCGAAGTGAGGTGGGCCTACACGGCGGTGCTGCTCTATCGGGATGGCGGTGAGCCAATCCCCCGTGCCTTAGCCTGTCAGCGAAAGGAACCGTTGTGTATGGCCTGACAGTGGGTTAAGGCTCATATGCCGTGTCGCCTGCACCTGGGTGGCGTATCTGCTTCCCTGCACCTTCACCCCAAGTTCGTGCTGCAGTTTCAGCCCCTTCGGCTCCAGCCTCTCCTTGTCTAAAATCTCCCTGGCTTCCTGCGGCAGCGAGGTCTCGCATTCAAGGAGCCACTGGTGTAGTGCCGTGGTGGTGTCTTGCGGTAGTAGTAGTAGTATGTGATCACGCACCGCTATCAGGGCTTCCTCTGTCTCCAGGGGTAATGAACTGAGGAAGAGGCTCGACTGGGTAAAACTAGCCAAGTACCCGAACCGTCCTTCTACCGTAGGGTCCGCGAGTCCGATACCACCAAGGGACGGTGGGAGGGAAGACTGCTCCCACACCCGGCTCTGTTCTATGCTGTCTGTTGGGAGGCAAATGCCGCATGCTGTGAGGAGCGTGGCCAGTAGATCCCTGCCCCACTGTGACCATACATCGCCTCTCTCTCGTGTTCTATCTCTCTCGTTCTCTTGTTCTCTCTCTCTCTCTCTCTCTCTCTCTCTCTCTCTCTCTCTCTCTCTCCCTCTCTCTCTCTCTCTCTCTCTCTCTCTCTCTCTCTCTCTCTCTCTCTCTTGTTCTCGTTCTCTGTCTCTCGTTCTCGTTCTCTCTCTCTTGTTATCTGAGGAGCGGAAGGCCAGGTTCTTCTTCTTCATGAACGAAGGCACAACCGACCCCGCTATGGCTGCCAAG